TTTGCAGAGTAGGTCGCCAGGCCTTTCTCCAACTCTGTAACTCACTTTTCGACAACTGCCCTGGGGACAGCAACTGCCAGGCAACGATCAATCTGGTATGGGATACTTTTTTTGTTGTCTCCCATCCCGGACAAAACTGTTTCAACTCCTCCCCTCGGGATGGTGCTACAGAGCATTGCAGGCCAAATCACAGAGACAGTTTTTTCCCTCAGGCCATCACTATGCTGAACACCTAATTCTCACAGTGTTAATGTCTATATGTATTTACCATGTAGTATGACTGTAGTATTATTAGTTATCCTTATTATTTTTCTTTCTCTCCCATCTTATTGGTATTATTCTTACTCTTACTATTATTATTATTATTATTATGGATCATCGCACAGTTAGCCAGATGTTCAGACTGGATTTGGCATTTTGTCTACCTGTCGAGTCCTTACCCAGGACCTGGGATAGGCAGATGTGGATGTTTGATGGTATTACAGGTATCGTCGCAGGATGGAAGCAGTTCCTAATAAGGCCGCCTTTTGCAATTGACTAATAGCGAATTTGTCAATGCCAATGGTGTTCAAGTGGTGCTCCAGTTGTTTTGGGATTGCACCCAAGGAGCCTATGACTATTGGTACTACCCTTGCTTGCTTTTGCCACAGTCTTTCTATTTCTATTTGTAGGTCTTTGTATTTTGTTATCTTCTCCAGTTCTTTCTCTTCTATTCTGCTATCTCCAGGCACTGCCACGTCCACTATCCAGACTTTTTTGTCTTTCTTATCGACAATTGTTAAGTCTGGGGTGTTATGTTGCAGGTGCTTGTCTGTTTGAATTCTGAAGTCCCAGAGCAGTTTAATTTTATCATTTTCTATGACTTTCTCTATTTTATGATCCCACCAGTTTTTGCTTACAGGCAAATGATATTTTTTGCAGATCTTCCAATGCACCATTGTTGCTACTTTGTCATGCCGCTGCTTGTAGTCAGTCTGTGCAATCTTCTTGCAACAGCTTACCAGGTGGTCCACTATCCAGACTTTTTTGTATTATTATTATTATTATTATTATTATTATTATTATTATTATTATTATTATTATTATTATTATTTTGTTGCCTTGCATGCACACTGAAAGCTTCTCACCGGAGGAGACAAATTCCTTGGGTATATAATCACACTTAGCCAAATAAAGTATTCAGTTGAATTTAATTCAATCATAATTAATGGGTTTGTGGATATGCTTAGTCAGGCTCCTCAGCTGACACCTGTTTGACTTGGGTGATTCTTCTGCTATACTTTCTGGCGTCATACCTCCACCACAGCTCTCAAGCTTAACAGAACACACAAGCCCCTCCCCGTGACAAGAGGGGAATTCTATGCCTGCAATGAGCATGGCCTAGCCCAGGGATAGGCAACCTTGGCTCTTTTATCACTCGTGGACTTCAACTCCCAGAATTCCTGAGCCAGTCATAAAAGAGCCAAGGTTGCCTACCCCTGGCCTAGCCCTAAGCCAATCCTGGAAACATCTAGTCTCTTATATACTTTCCTGTTTCATTCTGTTTCCTTCCAGGAAGAATTCAGGCAGTCTGAGCAGAACACTTGCAGGTTGTTGTTGAAGGCTCACCCATTGGCTGTACCTCATGTCGAAAGAACTAATAGCCACCCTTCTTCAACAGAGCACTTCCAGATGTGGTCAGACTGCATCTTACAAATTCCCCAACAGGTTTTAGAATTGGAAGAATGGCAGCCCCACCAGAATTGAAAAGGTATTTTAGGTATTTGGGCTCCAACTCTCAGAAGTTACTTTGGGCTGAGATAATGAAGTGAGGAGCAGGCAGAAACATGATAATCTTCTTCTGTAAGTTTTTGAAAGCAAACTAACCATCACAAATCTCACCTTGGTGAGTTTCTTGCAAAAACCGTTCTGTCTACATAAGATCCTTATGCAGTCGCATTAAAAGATCCATCTAGTTCATGATCATGCTGAATTGCCTCTAAGAAACAGAATAACACAATAGCAGAGTTGGAAGGGATCTTGGAGATCTTCTAGTTCAACCCACTGCTTAAGCAGGAAACTCTATACCATTTCAGACAAATGGTTGTCCAATCTCTTAAAAACTTCCAGTGTTGGAGCATCTACAACTTCTGGAGGCAAGTCATTTCACTGATTAATTGTTCTCTCTGTTATGGAATTTCTCCTTAGTTCTAGGTTAGTACTCTCTTTGATTAGTTTCCATCCATTGCTTTTTGTCTTGCCTTCAGGTGCTTTGGAGAATAGGTTAACCTCCTCTTCTTTGTGACAGCCCTTCAAATATCGGAACACTGTTATTATGTCAACTCTAGTCCTTCTTTTAATTAAATTAGGCATACCCAATTCCTGCTGCTATTCTTTGTACATTTTAGCCTTGTCCCTAATCATCTTTGTTGCTCTTCTCGGCACTCTTTCTAATCTAGAGTCTCAACATCTTTTTTAATATTGTGATGGCCAAGTAAGACACCCATGAACAAGGCACAGAGGCAATAATCCTTTCTTATTGTTTGGGTTATCTTAAGGCAGTGTTTCTCAACCTTGACAATTTTAAGGCATGTGGACTTCAACTTCCAGAATTCCACAGCCAGCATTGCTGGCTGTGGAATTCTGGGAGTTGAAGTCCACATGCCTTAAAATTGTCAAGGTTGAGAAACACTGTCTTAAGGTGACCAACCATCCTCCTTTAGGGAGGACAGTCCTCCTTTTGTAAGTTCTGTCCTCCCTCAAAAAGTGTCCTCCTTCATGTCCTCCTTTTCGATATCTGAAGACTAATCTTCAGGGCTTTTTTTTCCCTCATAGAACGCTCAGAACGGGGTTCCGGCACCTTTTTTTGATGTTTTTTTTTTCAACTTTTGCATGAGCTATGCTACTCCCACTATTGGCTTTCGAAAGCCAATAGGAATTGCTGCTGAGCGCCCCAAAACACCCAGCTGGCAAACTTTGCACATGCAAGTTATCTGTATTATTGTTGCAATGAATAAAATGTTTCTTTTATTGACAATATTTTTTTCTTCAATTTATTTGTGTCCTCCTTTTCATTGTAAAAAAGTTGGTCACCTTAGTTATCTGATCTGGAGACATTCTATCTCTTGATTCTGTCAGTTGCATAAAAACAATATAATTGGGGACTAATACATAATTGTTGCCCTAAATAAACTTCCAGAAAATAATCCCTGGGCTAAAAAGTGAAAAGGTGCTCTGAATAGCCAACATCCTCTTGATATATATTAGAAATATGAGGCAGACTGAGACTGGTGCTCTTCTGCTGGTTGGGAAATCAAAAGTGAGATCAGTTGCTCATCTATCAGGCACAATATGAGGGAAGTCTTGGTTAATCATTTATAAATAACTATTTCTCAGACAGTATCATAACTGACCATAAGTTCATACACATTCATCTGAAAAGAACACCACTATAGCTATCAATAGACTACTGCAGCCAGTTTGATATAGTATTTAAGAAGCTGTGAATTCTAATCCTGCTTTAGGCATGATAGCTGGTTGGATAAACGGGCCAGTCACATTTTGTTAGCCCAACCCACTTCACAGTGTGTGTGTGTTATTGAGGACCAAATAGGAGAAAGGATGTGTTGCCTGTTTAAGTTATTTATAAAATAATAAAGGTGGGATAAAAATAAATACTCTTATGTTTGATTCTACATTCAGAGGGGATGAGATTCTTTCTTATGTGATGAATGCAACTCCTTTATTTTAGCTAGATCGTTTAGAATACATCATTGTTTCTGTCCCTGACTGAAGTCCTTTTTCACAGATTAAAAATTTGGGGGCCTCAAAGTTGAATTTCTACAAGATACACCTAGGCTGATTATAACTATTTCTGTTTGCATTTGCTTTTCCTTTCCAACAAACTGCCTGCTGGAGAATTACAGTAGAAAGTCATTTTGTAATTACATTTCTGCAAAATGGAGCAAATACAGCTTCGTATTCCTGAAAGGCTAAATGGTTTTTCAGGTTATACAATTCCTACCTGAAGCTGTGCTTAGCAAAAACCTGGCATCTGCATCTTCACAGAAGCCTTGTGCCACAGCCATTACCTCACTGAAACTTCATTTCATTGGCTGACCAAATCTTGAGAATAGATTTTTCTTTTCTTTTCTTTTAAAAAGCCCTATAAAGTTACCAACTGTAAAAAGTAGCCTTGTTCAGAAGACTGTAACTTTTCCATTTATATGGAGGCCTTGCATTGGGTCTGCTGTCTGCATTTGGTGTGCAGAAAACAGAAACAAAGCCCCCAGTGCATAAATGAGGATACAGATAAAATACTTCAATAAACTAGGCACTAAACATCATCTTGCCTCATTCCTATCACTGATATTCCATGAAGGAGATTATATGAATTTGAACCCTGAGTAGCTAAGGAGAAACCACCACCACCCACCATACATACTAACTGGTCCTTTTATGAAGAGGAAGCAGGGATTGGAAAGATACACCAAACAATATTTCCACCTGGTTAACTTGCTGGCTTTGGAGAAAGAGAAAAAAGACAAGAGAGATGATGGTGATGATGCTGCAAATACAGGTTGGTTCAGGCTAGCTGATGAAGGGGGGGGGAGCGAGAAGGGAAAAAAATCCCCCTATTTCAGTCGCTTCCAAAAATAGGCTGTTGAAGCTGAAACTGCATTATGGGTGAGGTGGGGGCGGATTATTTATTTATGCATTTCCAGTTTGTCTGTCTGAGGAGTCGAGCACGCACCAAAAGGAGAATTGGGGGGGGTGGGATGGAAGCAGTTTTATAAAACGCCGCTTCCATATCGGAAGCCGCTGATAAAATCTTTTAACATTCGAAGTACGGCAGTTATGTAATTGGAAAGAAGGCGAACGGGGGAAAGACCGAGAGGTGGAAGTTTCTAGAAGACGACTCCTCGCCTAACTTTTCTCTCCCCCCCCCCCTCCCGTCTCCCTGGGAGCGTCTGACTAGTTCTGCAGCTTGGCAGAAAAGCTAGACGTTACCTCATAGCTGCGGCCAGACAGCCCCGTCTTCTGTGCCAAGCGACTACGGCAGAAGCTCACGCGGCTCCGGCCCCGCTTGATTAGCACTTTGGCTGCTTTCGAGAATCCTGGAGTGTTTTTGTTCCAGGTGGGCTGCCGAGGGTGTGCGGAGAGGCTCCTTTGGTGTAAAGGAGCTTGCGGGGAAGGGGGCGAAGAGGGGAGCGCGGAGCAGCACACACACACACACACACACACACACACACACACACACACACACACACGCAAACACGCCTGAAGAGTGTATTGAGGGGGTTGTTAAGAAGACACAAAAGGCAATCGGACCTTTCCTTTGTGTCATCTGTCCTTGTTTTTAAACTCCCTCGTTGAGGTCTATGGAGAGTCTCAGGCATCCAGGTCATGGTTGTCCCAAAGGTGCTTTTTCAAGAGGCAACCCTAACTCTCTTGTTTTCTTTGAAGACATTTTGCTTCTCATCCAAGAAGCTTCTTCAGCTCAGACTAGATGATGGGGAATGGAAGGATTTATACTCCTTGTCGAAAACTGGTCATTTGCATTCTTTCAGAGAGTCGTTGAGGCCACCTGGAGGTTTTATCTGGGTGGTCAGGGTCACCTGAGTAGTACAAATGGATGTGGAGCCTTCTTGGAACTGCTGGAAGGACTGTGTTGTAGACTGGAGATAGATGGTGTCATATCCCTCTCGCTCTATTGAGAGAGGGCTGTTCAATTTTGACATAGATGGCCTCTTTGACCCCTCTTTCAAACCATTTATGTCAAAATTGAACAGCCCTCTCTCAAGGGGGGTGTGTGTGTTATGACACCATCTATCTACAGTCTGCAACACAGCCCTTTCAGCAGTTCCAAGAAGGCTCCAACCCATTTGTATATTCAGGTGACGCTGACGACACAGATAAATCATCCAGGTGGCCTCAATGACTCTGAAAGAATGCAAATGACCAGCTTTCTGCAAGGAGTATAAATCCTTCCATTCCCAGCCATCCGGTCAGAGCTGAAGAAGCTTCTTGGATAAGAAGTGAAATGTCTTCAAAGAAAAACAAGAAAGTCCAGTTGCCTCGTAAAAAAGCCTCTTGGGATCCCTCATCCAGGACTATCAGAGCCAGCAATGGGGGGGGGGAGAAGGGGATTAAAAACTACCTATAGCACAAGTGGTTATTTTTTTCCATAATGACTTGTGTAGTGAGATAGATAGATAGATAGATAGATAGATAGATAGATAGATAGATAGATAGATAGATAGATAGATGCAGTTCTTAAGTGAGGTTTGCCCCATTTTATGACCTTTCTTACCATAGTTGTTAAGTGAATCACTGCAGTTATTAAGTTAGTCACTTGGTTGTTAAGTGAATCTGGCTTCCCCATTGACTTTGCTTGTCAGAAGGTCCCGATAGGTGATCGCATGCACCGCAACTGTCATAAATATGTGCCAGTTGTCAAGCGTCCAAATTTTGATCGTGTGACCATGGGGATGCTGCAACGGTTGTGTGAAAACCGGTCATAAGTCACTTTTTTCAGTGGTTTGTAACTTTGAATGATCATTAAATGAATGGTTGTAAGTCAAGGACTACCTGTATTTTTGGGTTGAGATGGAGAGATTGATGCCCCCAGGAGCAGATCAAATCCACCCAGAGCTGGTTTGAGCTGCATGAGAGGACAACTGGATGCCTTTCAAGATTACTAGCCACTTGAAAATAAAACCTTTCTGTTTCTTCCCTCCCCCTCCCTCCCTTCCCTCTTCGACTTATGACTATAATTGAGACATTGTGATGCATTTTTACAGTGCTTGTTAAGTGAACGCTGGGATTATTAAGCAAACTTCACAGTCATTAAGTGAATCCATTGTAATTTATGGGCATTATTTTCCAGAAACCGGAAGTAAGCACCAGAAATCAGCAAAAAAAAAAAATCATTGTCATGTGACTGCAAGATGTTGGAAATGTCCATAAAGGTGAGCTGGTTGCCAAGTGCTCAAAATGTGATCACATGATTGGGGGGGGTGGCAATCCTAGCTTTGAAATTGGCTCCTAAGTAGCTTTTGGAAAAGTCTGTTGTAACTTTGAACAGTTGCAAAGTGATTCCTCATAAATTGAGGACTACCTATACTTTGATTATTTTTTCTCTTCAGTTCTTTCTCATATGTACAGGCAGCTTTATCTTCCATCTTGCAACCCTCTTTGTTTTTGATGCTGCCCTGTTCCAATTCTTCAGCCACCCCCAGTGACATTTATTTCTTGCCTTGGGCTTTTGTAGATTGTGGTGGGCTTAGAACATAAGGATATCTGTCAGGAGAAGGGATTGAGATGCAAAGATGGCAGAAAGACAAAGATGGGGAAGGGAGAACTTAAGACCAATAATCATCTGGTGATGGAAATGGCTCCACGCACACAACATTTAGTGTTTGTTTCACATTTCCTGTCACTGTATTGTAGTTGATGCATAAAATATTAAATATTTGGTTGATCTGCAGAAATAGCTCTATCTAGACTCTACCTTCTATCCTCCAGAGGTGTTGGATTACAACTGCTAGAATTCCCTATTGATGAATTCTCTAGAGACTGGAATGTTTGAAAGGAAAAGAGCATTGCTGAGGCAATACACAATAGATTTTTCTTCTCACAAGAAAGCTTACATAAGAAAATGTGTGTTATGGTGGCTTTCCTAGAATCTTACTGCCCAAGAGAGAATGCCTTCTTCTAAAGAAATTTAGACTGGTTTGTATGATTTCTCTCTTTTGCAGACCAAACAATGTTATTCAAATTCACACATTTGCTCTATTTTCTACCAAATGATTCTTTTCAATATATGTGTGTGTGTGTTTGCATTGTTTTCACATCTCACTGTTACTCAGCGTGAAGTGTCCATTTAATTAGCAAACATATGGTACAAGTCACGCAGTAATAAACATCTCATTTCTTTTCTAGTTAATAATTATTAGCCGTTCAGCAGTGTTATGTTTTAAAATATATTGCATTAGTCAGTATAACGTGACCAGGCCAGATTCATTTTCACATTCTAATAATAATAAATGAGACTCACAACCAACCATGGCAGCACAGAGAGCTTCTATTTAGCATTTCATCCAGTGATGCCCACTTCCAGTATATGCCATTCCATCCCTCCCATGGTCAGTCATCAGGAGGTATTTGCTAAGGACGGCTATATAAATCTTTGAAGGGATGCTTGGACTTGGAATCATAGTATATGGCTGGAAAAGATCTTTGGAGATCTTATAGTCCAAGTCAGAAGTCCTTGTACTATCCTTATCTTTTCTTGAAAACCCTACAACTCTGGGAGGCAAGCTGTTCCATTGATTAATTGTTCTTTCAGGAATTTCCTCCTTGGTTCCAGATTGAATCTCAGAATGTCCCTCTGATGAGTTTCCACCCATTGCTTCTTGTCCTGCCCTCGGGTGTGAGGACTCTCCAAAGTATTAGAAGATGGCTGTCATGTCACCCCTAAGCCTTCTCTTTGTTAGACTAAATACAAGGGCAATTCGGAAACAAAACCTCCATTTAGTTATTAATGACAGATCCTCGCAGATTCAGAACTTTTATTATACACATTAGAAAACTACAACATTGCATTACTTTTCAACATAATCGCCATTCAAATTAAGGCACTTGTCATAACGTCGTACAAGATTTGAAATTCCTTAGTAGTAGTCGCTCGGCGCTATGGGGGGGGGTGATCAAAAACATCCCAACGGAATTGCTTCAAAAGTTCTTGGGTGCATCTAGTGGTGTGCGGGCAAGCGTTATCATGAACCAACACCACACCGGAAGTGGTGCCATAGAAAATCCCGCCAAATCTGAAGATGCCAAAGGAGTACTGCTAGTGAAGTTCATGAAGCACGGTCTGACCATCAGTTCAAAAGTCTACTGTGAAACATTACGAAAACTCAGACAAGCCATCCATAACAAGCGTCGGGGCATGCTGACTTCCGGTGTGGTGTTGGTTCACGATAATGTTCGCCTGCACACCGCTAGACGCACTCAAGAACTTTTGAAGCAGTTCCGTTGAGATGTTTTTCTATAGCCCAGATTTGGCGCCGAGCGACTATTACTAAGGAATTTTAAACCTTGTAAGACATTATGACCAGTGCCTCAATTTGAATGGCGATTATGTTGAAAAGAAATGTTATAGTTTTCTAATGTGTATAGTAAAAGTTCTGTGTCTGTGAGTGTCTATCATTGATAACTAAACAGAGGTTTATTTCCAAATTGCCCTCGTATACTTGTTCCTTAGTTTAGCTATTCATCCTATGGTTTCAGATCCCTTATAATTATTGAGCTTCTGTGCACTCTTTCTAGGGCAGTGGTTCTCAACCTGTGGGTCGGGATCCCATTTGGGGTCGAACGACCATTTCACGGGGGTCGCCACACAAGGCTGTCTGCCATTTTTCCCCCTTTTCTTTGGCCACGCCCCTAGCACCCGGTGATGTATAAGTGGTTGGGGGTCACCACAACATGGGGAACTGTATTATGGGGCTGTGGTATTAGAAAGGTTGAGAACCACTGTTCTAGGGCCTCAGCTTTTTTTATATATATATACCATGCTATTCAGAACTGGACACAGTATTGGCCTCACTAGTACAGTACAGAGTGGTACCATCATTTCCCATGATCTTGATGCTGTTATCCCTCTGTTGATGCAGCCGAGGACTGCATTGGCTTTTTTGGCAGCAGCAGCACAATGCTGACTCATACTTGTTAAAGCTCAGTCTGAAACAAAGCCACAGAATGGCACCCATCCTTGAAGCAAAGGAACTAACTCTTGGTTTAGTTACAGTGGCACAGATGCAACAGCTACTGTTAGTGAGGCCGAAGCAAAGCAGTCAATTTAGATGGGTTGTCCAAATGTGGAATGTAGTCCAGAGTCACAGAGGAGAGAGAGTCTTTCCCAAGGAGCAGAAAAACAACACAGCTTTTGAATCTTTGGTATATGGGAAAAGGCAGACACTCCCTACCCATTCATAGGGTATATCTAATAGTTATACAAATTAGTGCTTTTAGCCTGGCAAGATTTCTGTTTATTTCTGTTTATAGGCAAGCAACAACGAAGAAACTATCCTGAAATAACCTCATGTCATTCTTTATTCCTTAGTCCTGACACCAGCTTTGACCCAATGGAATGATGACCACCCTTCACTTCAAGTCAGAGTGATAACCCCCTGTAAGACACAGCACCTTGTGGAAGCAGATCTGTACTTCAGAATAAGTTTAGAATCCTTTGAGTTTTTCCTTTAGCTTAGGGTACCTTTTTCTACAGATTTTTGGTCCTTCATGTCATAAACCTTAGGACTCCAAAAAGCCAGCTGATGCCTCCCTCTTAACGAATAAGACATCATTTGCGAGACATAAGATATGATATTTACAATGGAATACAATAGAGAGAATGACTTTCTTGGAAAAATAAAAGTATATCTTTCAAGGAATACTGGAGCTGAAGCCTTAATGTATCAGGAATGCCTCATATTAGGAAAGCTGGTATATTTAGTTTGACTCCTTCCAAGCTATTTATTTATTTCTTCATTTCAAACTATGAATACTATAGGCACAACCCAGCTCCAATAAATCACTTTTTCTCATCTTTCTATGGTAGCAAGTAGTATAAATCTCAAATTCTATAACAGTAGCATCATAATAGTATTCCTCCTGTTCTTTCAAAGTAAAAGTGACTTTATAGTATAATTTCGATACCAAAATCAGTGGTAAGAGAACTTTCTGATTTTGATAGTGTCAAAGGAAAAACCTCAACCATATAATATAAAGTAACTTCTGACACTTGGGCTATGCCAAGGAAGTTGATGGTGCTTCACTGCAGGTTATGTTATTACTGCTTTTAATTATTTTTGTGGATCTTTTGGAAGTGAGATATAGAAACCTAATTAAGAAATATATAAATTTGGTCAAGATCCAGGATAGTTTTTGCAGATTTTAATAAGTTTAGAACAATGATAATAGGATCCCATGGCAGGAAAAGCTAATGGATGGGTGGAAGAAGGAAAAAGCTAATGGAGCCCAAAATGGATAGGAAAAGGGAGAAGGAGGTAATGCTAAATATTACTGAGATTTAAAAAAATGGAAACTGCATAAAAAGGCAGAGCTGCTGCACATAAATCCTGATATCAAAAAGCAAACCTAGGAGCTGGAAAGAATTACCCAAGAATACCAAAGGATAATCTGAAATTTTAGAGATTTTGTGAGGAAAACTTAAGTTGGCAAAAGATATTTAAGATCAACTGGGGAAAAATCCTTTGTAAATACGTTCAAAAACTTAGGAAGAGAAAAAGAAACAGTATTCCAGCCACTCTGAGGATGGCAAAAGGTTCCAGGTTGAATTATTCAATGCAGCTTTTGGCTCAGGATTCCTTGAGAAGATGGAATGTGTCCCACCAGACGCTTTTAAAGAAGAAGGTTTTCAATTGAGCTGGAGCTTAGTAGACACATAGGGAACATCCGTTGACAATCAGACATGCAAGATTGATGTCAGCCACAGTAGGAAGATCAGACCATAAAATCAATTCCACAGAAAGCTAAAACTATTTTTATGGAGATTGGCTAAAATAACAGAATCTTCCAAGTCTGTGCTGGGCCTCCTCCTCCCCCTTATAGTTCTGGATGTCTTGAGAGATAACTACACTTCTGAATGTTATCTAGTTCTGAACATAAAAAATATTTCAACCCCTTTTGCCTAGATAATTAAGAGCAGGCAGAGCTGAGATGTGTGTGAAATGAAGAACACCATCAGATTAAAGTTGTACTACCACTAACAGTCATTGTCCAATCCCTCAAGTTCTGTTGACCTTATCTGTCTCTAAATTAGGATTCAACTTTAGTTGATTCATGTGTATAGACTTGAATAATAAATTCTTTTTGAATTGCAACTTAATGTATGATTCTGATCCTTGGTGCCTGACACTAAAGGTTCCTGCACATTTCAATCAAGGTCATCTTCTTTACAGGTATCAAATGGACTAAGAAATTGAATTCAATAAATTTTCATATAGAGCTACAGAAAGCAAATACCTAAATATACGTAGCTAGATAATAGTAGATAAGAAATTGAAATCTTGAAATTGCAATTGATAAACTGAATTGAGCTACTAGTGTGATATTGCTGCTACAATGACAAATATAGTTTTAAATAGTTTTACTAGAAGCACCATTTCCAATTTTCACAAAGTAATAGTTCATCTGTATTCTACATTACTCTGATTCCAACTCCAAATCATTTTCAATTCTGGGTACCACATTCTAAGAAAAATTCAAAACAACTGGAATGCAGGCAAGAAAAGGAGGGTATAGCTTCCATTGACCTAAAGATGATCAATGTGAGACCATTCCTATAAAAAGTCTTCATGATCCTATTACAATAGTTCCAATTATCATATTCTTTAGCAAGATCCCCAAACTAATGGTTGCTAGGAAAGACGTTCCACTTTTTAGAAAACTGATTTCCTAAACATATATTAATCAAGTTTCAGTGCTAGCTTTGACCCAGAGACATTATCATGATAGTTGATTTCTGTTGGAAGAATGGGATCAGAAAGAATGATCCTATCATCAACTTTCTGTTCTCAATTAGAGTAGCCTGTTGAAGTTGAAATTCACGAGCTTGCAGTCATCCCATATCACTAACTGGGGGAGGGGCAGCTGTTTTTGGAAGTCGGTGAAGGTTTTTGAACTGGATATCATTAGTATATCAATAACAACATCTCTCTATTGCATCTGTCTTTTGTGTCTGGTTCAGATGAGACAGTAGAAATGTTACAAATTGGTGACAGACCAGAATGAAGCTCTTGAATAAAAGCAGTTTTCTTTATTTGTTTGCTGTCAGCCATGCTGAATCAGAGAAAATGAACTGGAAAGGCAGGATATAAATTTTCTAATCAATGTTTCTGATAAATATTTGATTTTCTTTAAATTTTCCATATTCCTCAGTTAATGATAATGCTTCTTCAATGTTCTTTCTTACTCTTACTCTCTCCCAACTGACACGAAACATTCCCTTCTGCCTCCACCTCCCCTTCTTCTTTTGTCTCAGACATTTTGTGTTTTAGTTTGTGAGCCTGCAGGCAGAAACTTGTGCTTTCTATTTTTGTATAGCACCTGGTGTATACTAAAGAAGTTGATGTTGATAAGGTGCCATTTAACTATCATGACTAATAGCCACTGATTTCTTATGCATAAATTTGTGTAATCCTCTTTAAAACAATCTAAACCAGTGGTCCTAACCACATACTGTGGCAGCAAATTCAACATGTTAATTATGTACCATGTAAAGAAATACTTTCTTTTTTTTCTGTCCTGACTGTACTGAACAAATACTGTTCTAAACTAAGACGCCCTCTAACCTCACAAAAGAGTGATATATATTTGGATTTTGTCTAACCAACTATCTTATTATTCCTACTCAAAAATACAGCTGAGTCTAAATGAAACTGATATACGATGGAGATCTCTAAACAGTGGAAGTCTTTCAAGCCTTAATTTATGAATCGAATCTTTCAAATTCAATTTATCTTAAAAGTGAACTCCTATATAAAATGCAGTACAACAGGCTTCTGCTTCCATTGACAGCTATTACAGAATATAGAAGTATACAGTATATATTTGTGAAGGGTTTTTTTCCTTCAATTGCCAACTAAATAGTTCAGAAGATTGTTATTTTTTTTCTACTAGCTTTATAGTTGGTATTTCATTTCATTTGGAAATTTCTAGATCAGTTTCCCCCAACATGCTATATTTTAGAAGCCTTGTGACAATAGTGGTCATGATGGCTGAAAAATTGGGATGGGTATTGGATCTGCCGAAAGATCTAGTAGAGTTGTGCCCCCTCCCATTTAAGCCAAACTTACGTCATCAATAAGAACAGCCAATACAATTTCAGGAAAAATTGCTGCTACCAAGACAACAGTCAAATAAAAAAGGACTGGCTCTAGAGCAGCAAAGTAATTGGAATAAACATCTCAGAGAAGACCTTCCCTAGTTCTCATAAAGATAAGGGGGGAGGAAGGATAATAGAATAGAATAATAACTTTATTGTCACTTTGAATGTACACCAAATGTACATCCATTAAATGAAATTTCGTTGCATTCAGCTCTCAAAGGGTCACCACCTCCGATACACACTACATAAATATGACAAGAATAAATGAATAAATAAATACAAAATTATGCATATACCCACATATGCATCTACCCTTATTTATTATATGACAGAGAAAAAACAACAGTCTAGTTCTAGATGCATTCAGGCTTGCAGGATTCTGTTATTATAGTTTTACATTAAATGTAGTATTCACATGCATGACATTGAGTTCCTAGTCTGATATATCTGGAAGGGTTGACAGAATCAGATAATCCGTGTTTTTTTTTTTTCCTAAAGCCCTATAGAATTGATGGCTTGCCTCTTTCTCATTCACCTTCACCAAAAAGGGCAACTTTGAAATACAGCTGGGGTCAAAGCTGGCCTCTTAATGAGGATCACACCGATGCCTCCTCAGGGATATTGCCCTCTCTTTCTCCTGCACTAAGTCATTCATAGCCAACCAAACCCAGCTTGTAATTCTTACCCTGGCAGTACATTTTAGTCAAGGGGAACAGGGATCAAACTGACAGGAGGTAATGTTCATGTACCAAGGTCTTTGTCCAATTCTTCGGGATCTTCAAGTTCAAAATCCTCCCAGGTAAACATAGCTACAGTAGATGTCATCTCTTCAGAGCCGATCCAGCTAGCTTCTAATTAATGCTCAGCCTATTTTATTGTTACAGCATAAGATGCTCAGTTTTTGGCCTGTAGATTTCATGTGCCCCCGCACACACCTTTTTATGTCTTCAGTATGAGAAAGGTCAAATATTTCAGATTCCCTGGGGTTGGGGGAATTAAAAGAACAAGGTGCATTTTGCCAATGTGCCCCTTTAAAAATCCTCCAAACCTGATTGATTTTCCTTGGGGGAGGGCTTAAGGGACAATATGGTTACTTAGACCTCTGGAAAAGCCCCTTTAATGTACAGCACCTTTATTAAAGTCATACTCATCAAGTTTACATCACAGTATCTGAGGCCGTTAGGGGCAGAATGAAGAACTTCAGCACTCAGCCAAAGGGAAATAATGGAAGCTGACATTTAATCCTTCATACCAGCACATGGAGAACAGAAAGAATAACATGAATTCAACCTTGATAATGTCATTATGATCCCAACATAAGCAACACTAAGCTTTTAGATAAAACTTTAAGAGAATGTTAACATCAGCTTCTCCCCATTTACATCTTCCAAAATCTTGGTATAGTTTGCAAAATGTCCCAGATGAAGCTCCACTTTGCTGCAAGAATAATTAAGGAGAAACTCACTTCTGGGTGCTGTCTAAAGACTTGGAAAGAACCATTCATCCTGCTCATGAAATAAAGCAGAATAATCTGTGCCAGAGATAAATATAGTTTATTTCTTTTTTTGGAAAACAATGGGGTGGAGCAATCATGCCAAAAGTAAATTTGTGTAGGACTGTAGCAAGCAACCTTATGTGCTATAAATACTGCATTGAGAAATATTCAGATTGACAAAGAAATTTTCCTTGCATGGAATTTAAGCTTCTAATGTGCCAGAATAAAAACTGGAGAAGGGGAGGCAGAAGGGCACACTAGTCTTACCTGAAGGTAGAGATTTAAGCAAGTAGAGACTGGCTGTCCTAGTGTGTCATTATGGGCTGTAATCAGAGATGTTTCAGAGACTGAAACTAGCAATAGAAATATTTTATAGACCATCAAACCAGAAAGAACAAATGGGCTGTGAAATGACTGTGTAAATAATACAGATGTGTCAAGTAAAGGAGAAGGCAAAGAACAAGGACTTTGGATTTAGTAGCATTCCCTAAACATTTAACAGCAGAGTTCACTCCTTTTTATTATTTTTAAAAAAGGAAATAAAAACATTTTCTTCCTCGAACCCTAAAACATTTAAAATGCATCCCAATTTATGACTGTGTTTTCAGAATGTATTTATCCATAACTAATTTAAGTATGGCCTGCACAATTAACCCAATTTTTTGTGATCACAATGAACCATAAAGCAACTGTGTAATTTGGCTTTCCATGATCCTTTAAGGCAAAAACTGGGTGGCTTCTTTGCAGATCTGTGTCATGTGAATGCAGCATATAGTTCTATATCACAATACAGTGGACTTGTGTATTTGTGTATCTCTTGCTCAGATGCTAACTGTAAATAGACAAAAATCAACACATAGATTCTTATCTTTAAACCAGATTTAAACCAGACTAGACTTTAAATAAACCAGGGGTCATCAAACTTTTCTGGCACCTGACACTATATGCAATTTCATTCAGTGTCCAAAAAAAAGTTGCTAACATTTCACAATTTTTAGGATCCTATTTAATTTCAGCAATATTGTGTAGTATGTTTGGGTTCCTTTGGGGTGTTTCTACAAAATATTTGATGAGATTCCTGGAATTTTGTGCAGATTTACATGTGATTTCATGATCTTGCAATCTTTTAAAGATTTTGGAGGTCACTTTTGCCACTCCAGCTATTACCTCTGGAATAAAGGATATTTCAAAACAGAGGGCAGCATGACATATAAATGATTCAAACAAAATATCACCAATGACTACTCCATATAGGATGTGGTGATGTTCATTAGTTTTATAGAATTATTCATCCAATTATTTAGTGCTAATTAGTCATGACAGCTATAAGGGAGTTCCTGATTTGAAAGATGCATCTTTTCAAATACCATTTGCTGGGGAGCAAGAATTGAATCTCCAGAGAATCCCAGCTGACCATGGGTAACAAGATGCTGAGCTGAGTATAAGAATTTAGTCTGATAAGAACTTAGTCTATA